CCCTCCCCCTCCCCCCCACCTGCCCGGTCAATCCTCACCGCCGATCGAAATACATCGCGCGCTCTTATCGAAGACGTAAGAGCCTATTGACGAGCGGATTCATTGACCAGCTCCGCGCTTATCGCCGGCGCGAGAACGAGGTTGCGTCTGTCGGTTACATCAGTGTTATCAATTACCGCCCGATTATCGGGGAATCCATCGCCTGGGCTCCTCTCCATTCTAACAATCAGCTCGCATTCATTGCTGGCGAATATCGATTTCCCCTCAATGAGACTGAGAGAGCACATGCTCAAGCGTGCACGCAGGCCCGAGGTTATCCCGCGAAAGCGCGCGCGCTTTCGCGAATTTTGTCGAACAACTCCCGGCGGCATCTCTTTCTCTCTCTCTCTCTCTCTCTCTCGAGTGCGTGTCCCTCCCCCCGAATAATTCGGCGTCAATGGATCGGCAGCCGCGAAAACGGCGGAATCTCGAGGGAACGCGGACAGAACGGATCTCGCCGATTTTCCGCCGCTGCCTCCTCCGCGCGCGCTTCTCTTTTCCCCGCGTTTGTAAAGCGCGTCGTAAGGCAGAGGTAAGGAGGAAGTAATAGCATCGCGTGATAATAGGAGGGGATCCCGCGACGTAAACGACGACGACGACGATGATGATGACGACGACGAGGAGAAGGAGGAGAAGTAGGGTAGGGTAGGATACAGGGAACGGCGGCGGCGTGGGCGCCCGCTCGTGACGCTACGCTCCTGCCTTAAACCCATTCACAGAATGAACGAACCGCCTGCGTTTCGTTCGTGTAGTCACTCAGTAGTGTCATGGAGGTAACATGGCCGAGGAGACGCGCCTAGTCCGCGTTGAAGAGAGGCTAAGGATCAAAATCGGTAGGGAGATATATAACGCTGTGCGGTCCACCGTCGTCGGCGGACGATGCGTGTGTGTAGTGCGTGCGACGGGCGTTCGCCGTCGCGGCGGATCCCGCGGGAGCGACACGCGCCGGGACGCGTTCGTTCCGCCCGCTCAGGATGTCACCTAATTCGACTCCCACGACCGTGTCCACCTTTCCTGCGCTCCGCGGAAAGACGGAGGCCGCGAACGACGCCCGTCGATCGCGCCTCGACGACGGGCCCGTCGGCGAGGCGATCCGCAACGCGATCGCGGCCGCGATCGACGACGGCGCCCGCTCGCTGTCTTTCTTTCCCGTGCGAAATTCGTCCCAGTGATCGACGCGTACATTCTCGACTCCCACGCGTCGTTGTCCTCCTACGGATGTATGTGTATGTACGTGCGTGCGTGTGGAGGTTCGTGCGTGGACTTACTTGTGTGCGTGCGTGCGTGCGCGTGTGCCGACGGTCGTATGTGCGGTGAGAAAATTGCGCGAACGGACGTGCACCGAAAATCCCGAAACGACCGCACCGGACGCGCGTACGCACGAGGACGGCTCGAGAGAAAGAGAGAGAGAGAGAAAGAGAGTTTCTGCTCGTGAATTGAGCGTTTTTTTTCCACGCCTTGGTCGTCCGGGAGTCTCCGGCGGACTCCTCGACTCGTCGACCGGGATCGAACGTGGAGAGAAAGAGTGTTTTTTTCTCTTCTGTGCTCGCGTCGGTGCTCCTCGAATCGCCGAAATTACCGCGCGATCCCGGCGAACGTTTCTCGTTTTCGTCCCGTCTCGCTCGGGACGATCTCTCTTGTCTTGTAAATAATGCTTCATTGACATTAACGACGAGCGAGAAAGTTCTTGGCTTTCATTCCGCTCCGGCGGATTTTAAGGTGGAATCAGGCTTTTGTTTCGAGATCAACGTCGCGGTAAACATCACGAGTGGACAGTGATGAGTGCCGAGATGCAATGACTAATTAATAGCTATAGAATGAATGAAGTTGTATCGTATTGCATAACAATAATCGGTATTGGCAATCAATGACTCAGTGAGAAATGATTCCATTGAAGTTACCTAATGTATGCTAAAAACGGCAGCCATTGACTGATATTTGTTTTCTAGTTATGATACCTCCTCTGATTTTGACATGAAATCAGACGGCAGTTTCGTACAAATTGAAAGAAAATCCGTGAATTTGTGATAATCTTCCTTTCATCCTGATTCTCACCTTAAAATGTTTCACGTGACAGTGTGTTCATGATCAGCCTCTGATAAATTATATTAGCGATTACATGCGATAATGGTCGCTTGCAGGAGAAGCAAAAAACCTTCAGAGTCGAAGTCATGGGTCTCCAGGTACACGAGACGTGTATTGCGCGTTGTCGCTTGACCAGGAGGAAATATTCAGAACGACGACTATGGAAAGGACTCTCAAGTAAGTTTCTGTTTGTGGGATTTACCTCAACCATGAAAATAAAAATTCGTTGATTCGACTCTCGCTTACAAGTAAATGTCTTGCATTTTGGACAGCCCATTCTTCGGAGAGGAATTTCAGTTCGAGGTACCCAGAAAATTTCGTTACCTTGGCATTTACGTTTACGATCGGGATAGACATTTAAAGCAGGATAAGATTTTGGGAAAAGTAGCAATAAAGAGGGAAGATTTAGCAACATATCATAACAAAGAGAATTGGTTTCCTTTGAAGCCAGTCGACGCTGATTCTGAAGTCCAAGGCAAAGCACATTTGGAGCTAGCTTTGCAACCTCAAGTAGAACATGCTCAGCCTAAACTTACAGTAAGGTGAGCAATGATGAGGGACAGCTATATAATACGTATGTTCGATCTGCATGTAAGTTTAAAATACAAGAATCTTCTAACAGTGTTTGATTTTATGCATTGCAGAGTAATAGAATGTAGTGAACTAACCATTAAAAATGGTAGCTGTGATCCCTTTGCAACTGTTACAGTCATCTATAGCAATGGTAAGCAAATATCAAAACGCACAAAAGTTAAAAAGAAGACGTCGTCACCGCAATTTAACGAAACATTCGTGTTTGAGGTAAGGAGGCGCATTATCTTTCCCATTTATTCTTCCATGTGTCTGGAGCACGTATCACATTTTACTTCCTTGCTTCTGTATTAGCCTGAGTTAACGGAGACCAAGGACAAGGATGTTTCTCATTATTCTATCGAAGGAGCCGAGGTTGGAGAAGTGGTTGTTGGCCTGTGGCATGCATCTCCCGGTATGGGAGAGCAATCGGTATTCCTCGGTGAGGTGCGGGTTACCCTGAGAGGATTGCAAAGGCAGCCAACCAGTACAACAACCGCGTGGTATGTTTTCTTTTTCATTACTTATTGTAAATTTACAAACTTCATATTTGAAAAAATACTGAGACCAAGCGAGAGCTTGAGAGATTTTTTAATTGGGAATCTAAGGATCTTCATTATCTTGATACGTTATGTGTGTGTGTGTGTGTGTGTGTATAGGTATTTTCTACAACCTAGAGCAGCAAAACATCGTCCAAGTAAAATTTCAAGCAATTCAACGCCACCTGGCACGTTACCGGGCTTGGGCTCGTTACGTTTGAAGATACACTACACAGCCGATCATGTCTTTCCCTCTGAGAAGTATGACATACTGAGGAGTCTGTTGCTGCAGAGTGTTAATATTCAGCCCATAACATCGTCGGCTGTTTACATATTGGGTGAAATTGTAGCTAGTAAAATGGAAGCTGCACAGCCGTTAGTTAGAGTATTGGTGCATCATGGACAATTGGTGTCTGTGATGCGAGCGCTTGCTAGTCATGAGATTTCCAAATTGACGTAAGTAAAAAGACTGAATTTATTTGAACTTGGATGCAGGCGATCGGTGGTTGTACAGGGAGAGGTAATTTCTCGTTTATTTGTTCCAGTGACCCAACAACAATTTTTCGCGGTAATACATTAGTGAGCAAAATGATGGACGAAGGCATGAGATTAGCGGGTCTTCATTACCTGCATAGTACTCTTAGACCTGCAATGGAACAAGTCTTCCTTGAAAAAAAGCCGTGCGAAATAGATCCGACTCGGGTAAAGGATGGCAATACTATCGAGACGAATTTGGCGAATTTAAAGGTATCATGTCGCAAATGCCCTGTCTTTTTCAAAGAAAAACAAGGTGAGTAAGCGTATTAACAGCTGCATTTTTTTTTTTCGACAGGAATACGTTGAGAGGGTATTCACGGCTATAACAACGTCGGGAGTGAGATGTCCGCCTTTAATGTGCGAGATGTTCTGGTGTTTGAGAGAGCTCGCCGCGATTCACTTTCCGAAAAACAAGGAAGTGAGGTACTCGGTGATCAGCGGATTTATTTTTCTACGATTTTTCGCTCCTGCGATATTGGGTCCAAGATTATTTGATATTACTACTGAACAAATTGTGAGTAATCGGCGAGTAAATAATGCTACGCTAAACTACGTATTATTAATATAACACTTTTCCGTTGAATTTATACGTTGCGTATATTATCGCAGGATTCGCAGACTAATAGGACATTAACATTAATATCTAAAACGATTCAAAGCCTTGGGAACTTGGTGTCTTGTAGAGGAGGCGCAGGTAGTGTTTGCAAAGAAGAATATATGGAATGTGTGTATAGGTAAGATTTAAAGAACTTTTTTTTTTCAAGAGAATTAAAGAGACTTTGCGAAATTGAAGCATCAAAGAAACTTATTTTTATGATCTGTGTAATTTTGCTTTGCAGAGAATTTTACACTGAGAAGCATATTCAGGCAGTTAAGCAATTTCTGGAATTAATATCAACCAGTAGTAATAATAGCGGTGTCACGAGACAGCGACCAACGATGTTGCAAGAACAACCAGTAGTACTCAAAGAAGGGTACGTTTATTGCATCTCGTTATTTGGCTCACATTTAATGTCATAATAAAAATCGCCGTTGAAACGTCGGATTTTCTGATCTCGTTCTAATATGTTCTAATTAATCATGTAGGGTAGTAAAATTCCATTTCTTGATCTGGTTTAAAAATGTAATGTTAAAATTACGAGATTTTTAATTACTAAAAACTCGGTGTATTTCTTTCTAATAGAATATACTTTCTCTTTATGCATACCGCTGATTGCGATAAGAGGTTGGTGATGTACAAATGCCGAACTCGTGTTTGCCGATATACGATCTTCCCGAAGATCGTTGATTACCGTTCTTCCTTTCTTACAGAGTAATGATTAAACGGGCACAAGGTAGAAAGCGATTCGGTCGCAAGAATTTTAAGCAGAGATATTTTAGACTTACTACACAAGATCTGACGTATTCTAAAACGAAGGGTAAATATTTTTCTTGCGATACGATTTCCTCTTGTGAAATATTTATGATCAACGCAACTTACGATTTACAGGTAAAGAACCTTTGTGTAAGATACCACTAGAGGAAATTTTAGCGGTGGAAAGACTTCACGAAGATTCCTTCAAGATGAAAAATATGTTCCAAATTGTTCAGCCACAAAGAGCGTTGTACGTTCAAGCTGGTAATTGTGTGGAGGAAAAGGAATGGATCGATATCCTTACGAAAATATGTCAAACCAACAGTAACCGCTTAGAAAAGTATCATCCGAGTGCATACATCAACGGTCATTGGCTTTGGTGAGTGATTCATAAAGAGTGTGTCACGCTAAATATAAATAAGTTGTGCTTATTTCTAATTTTCTGTCTATATGTATCTGCAAATATATAGTTGCCGGGCAGTTGCTGAAATTGCACCAGGGTGTAGTGAAGTGTCACCGGGCATAGAAGCTGGATTACGAATGGTCCTAGATCCGGATCGCGATTTACAGAGGATACACTCGTTAATCTTCACTAATATGCCGCGCCTTGAGACATTGATGAATGCATGTGAATGCCAGGCGGTTTATGGTGCTAGTGATATGTGTGTTATACCGGACGGAGGTTCGCCTATAGAAGATGTACCTTCTTGTTTCAAGACTTTAAACTCGTTAAGAGAAGCTGCGTACACGTTGGAGCACGAACACAGAGCCTACTTGAGAAGACTGGCGCGCGACACCAAATATGGCAGCAAGTACGTAGAATATGAAGAATTTTATATTTTTATGAAACATATATAAAAAGAAATTAAAAGTCGTCTTTTTTCGAATACATTTTATACACACATTCTTGTTACTTCGGTATTATTTTTACTAGTGTCTTTTAATTTCAATTTCAATATTTCATTCATACGTATGAAGTGATTTGCAATGTTTTGCTGTTATAGACAAGCTCCCATTGGTGATGACAACTACCTCCACTTAGCTAGTAGAGCAGGATTCGATAATCAGTTAACGAAGCGGTCGTACGAGATGGATGGTCTAAATCAGCGAGGCATAGAAACGGAGCACTACGATACGGGATATTCGCGGAAAATCGTCGATAGTCAGAGATACGACGACACATTCAGGAAGTATCTCGATTCTGACTCGATTAATCGTAGGTACGAAAACGAAAACAACTTATTGCGAGCGTATGAAAACAATGCTGATACTATTAGAAGTATCCAAAATGATCTCAAGAAATTCGATCATAGTTTAAACAATACATTAAGATCTGATAAGTCGGAGAAGAACGGTAACGAGAATATGGAGAACCACAAGAGGCTGGATAGTACCAGCCTATTGACGGTGGATGGTATTAATCTGTCAGGTACATTGTCGCAGAAATTCAGTAATTACGATAATACTAGAGTGTTAGACGAGTGTACGTTGACGAGACGGTTAAAAGACGACGCCCTTGACATATCTTGTAACTCAATGAGCGAGCGTGGCAATCATTAATTTATCTATACGATGTAAAGATACAAGAGCTGTACGTTCCTATAAATTTTTAAAAAAAGAAAGATCCTCAACGGATTTTATATTGGTTGTTTCTTTTTAAACTATGCAGCCGTTGCCTTTTCTTTGCATAGGCGAGGCTATTTTTTTGTATCTCTGTAGACATAGGATCATTTCTATCGTGTAAAAATTAATGACTTCGCTGCTCGAGGCAGTTCTCTTTGTTATGTCTGCATTTTACGATGAGTCGCTTCAATTTGTTTCTTGGGTATCGCATATATATATATATATATATATATATATAGAGAGAGAGAGAGAGAGAGAGAGAGAGAGAGAGAGCCATGAGTGGGAATGTAATTTATAATGTACCTTTTCGGTTTGTTACCATGTTGTGCAGAACGTAACATCTCGTCACCGCAAAAATCTCTACTATTTATTTATTTATTTTCACCTCATTTCTCGATACGTTGGAGATGTATGTGCATTATTAGTATAACACTGTGCGGAACTGTGTTATATTGATTGCACAATTTGTAATCTCATTCTCTGGAAAGTCGAGTTCTCGCTAATCGTAAACTCAACGTTAGGTTTATGCAATAACGGTTATTATTGTACTATGAAAAAGAAATTAGCGTAATTGAATATAATTATCGTTATCTTTCGCGCACACGCGACACACACACACACACACACACACACACATACACATACATATAATTCCATCGATTTTTAGCAGAATGATTCCTGTATTAATTACATGACTCTTTAGTAGTCGATATTTATAGCATATATCGCATAACAAGTATACAAAAGACAGGTGAAAATACAAATCGCCTATTAACATTGGACAGTTTCTTCGATTATATCATAATATAAAATTTTTAATTTTTCGAGCAAAAATACCGCAATAATATCACATAAGCAAATTTAAACGATATACACATAAAAAATCCAGATAACATACAATCAGCAAGCGCTGAAATTATAAACTTTGTTCTTTACAGGGGCCTAAATGTCAACAAGTGTTTTTTTTTTCTGCATTTATCGTTCTTTTCGTATCTTCGTTAAAAGACTTGGAATCTAAATTTGTTCGACGATATATACACATGTAATTTTCAGCTCCGGTATTTTATTGGCTACTCTACATACACTCTCACATAAACCCAGAAATGTCGTACACAAAGAATATTAGATCTGCTAACGCGATTAAAATAATGAATTAATATATTGAAAAAAAAATAACGAAAGAACATCATACGCAACATGAAAGATCTTACAATTTTAAACTGTTGATGGATATTACTTTAATAACGTCTTGCTTTCGCACTATTTGTTGTATAATGCTATTACAATTAACTAAACGAATATCTGATCGATTTCCTGTGATAGTGTATAATCAGCATTCATCGTAACCTAAGCTACAAATTGCTTACGGAATGTATTGTCTACAATTAATTTGTAATCTTTAAATCTTTTTAGGGTACATATATTTCAGCATTTATTAAAGAATTATATTCTTATCTTTAACTGGGCAACCACAGATAATAATTGTTGCAATTAGTGACAGTTATTGCTTCGTTTTTCTTTTTTAAAGATCATGTACATAATATTGTACATAATATCGGCATCAAATTAAAGTATCAATTTTTTTGTTATTAATACCCTCGCACACGCATACATGTAAAAATTTAGATTTTTATGCTAATTATTGTTTAGAGCAGGTCTAAAAATTCGGACAATATCTTCCTGGTAGACACCAACCAGCAATAACATTACAACAATGTTACAATTTTCCTACTCAACAATGTAACTATTGTATACAACGCATGTTATATTATACTTACATTGTTGAGTGAGAGATCATAACATTGATGTAACCGATAA